ACCATCCCCGACAATCTGATGGCTGGGATGCCCTTTCATCATCCCCAACCAACAATGCAGCTGACCAGCACGAAATTACGCTCATTGCAGAGTACCTTTCTGGACAACAGAACTCCACAGCCAATGCATTAAGCAGGCTTTTCTCCATGAACCATGAGTGGCAGCTGCACCCAGAAGTACTTTACGCCATATTCCAGCACCGGAGGTTCCCATCAGTAGACCTCTTTCCAGACGACTCAATGCAAGATGACCTCAATACTGCTCGAGGGCCGGGATTGGGATACGGTCTCGCATGATATTCTTATTGATAAACTAGGCAAATATAACTTAGATAGGGCCACGATAAGGTGGGTGCATAATTGGCTGGATAACCGTAGTCAGAGAGTTGTTGTTAACGGTTCTAAATCCTGCTGGAAAGGGATAACAAGTGGAGTTCCTCAAGGGTCTGTTTTGGGACCCGTACTGTTCAATATCTTCATCAATGATGTAGATATTGGGATAGAGAGTACTCTTATTAAGTTTGCAGATGATACCAAACTGGGTGGGGTTGCAACTTCTTTGGAGGATAGGGACATAATTCAAAATGACCTTAGCAAGTTAGAGAAATGGTCGGAGGTAAACAGGATGAGGTTTAATAAGGAGAAATGCAGAGTGCTCCACTTAGGAAGGAACAATCAGTTCCATACATACAAGATGGGAAGCGACTGTCTAGGAAGGAGCATGGCGGAAAGGGATCTAGGGGTCATAGTGGACCACAAGTTGAATATGAGTCAACAGTGTGATGCTGTTGCCAAAAAAGCAAATATGATTCTAGGTTGTATCAACAGGTGTGTTGTAAGCAAAACTCGTGAAGTCATTCTGCCGCTCTATTCTGCACTAGTTAGGCCTCAGCTGGAGTACTGTGTCCAGTTCTGGGCGCCACATTTCAAGAAAGATGTGGAGAAATTGGAAAGGGTACAGAGAAGAGTGACAAGAATGATTAAAGGTCTAGAGAAGCCTATGAAGCCAGGCTTCATGAACTGGGCTTGTTTAGTTTGGAAAAAAGAAGATTAAGGGGGGACATGATAGTGGTTTTCAAATATCTAAAAGGGTGTCACAAGGAGGAAGGCGAAAATTTGTTCCTCTTGGTTTCTGAGGACAGGACATGGAGTAATGGGCTTAAAGTGCAGCAGGGGAGGTTTAGATTGGACATTAGGAAAACATTCCTAACTGTCAGGGTGGTCAAATATTGGAATAAATTGCCAAGGGAGGTGGTGGAATCTCCCTCTCTGGAGATATTTAAGAACAGGTTAGATAGACATCTGTCAGGGATGGTGTAGACGGAGCTTGGTCCTGCCTTGAGGGCGGGGGGCTGGACTCGATGACCTCTCGAGGTCCCTTCCAGTCCTATTATTCTATGATTCTATGATTCTATCTTCTATACGCCTTCCCTCCCACGCCCCTAATTCCTAGAGTCTTGTAGAAAATAGCGATTGAGGGAGCTATGGTAATTCCGGTAGACCCCTTCTGGCCACGACAGACATGGTTCCCTTACCTGTCTCGCATGTCGATCCGCTCTCCATATCGCCTTCCCAAACATCGCGAGTTGCTCACGCAGAATCACGGACGCTCGATACATCCGCAGCTCGACCACGTCGCCCTGGCAGCCTTGTACCTGGTTGGTTCCAACAGACCTGCTCACACAAGAGAACGGTTAGATGCACCATGCAGATATCCACACACTCTCATTTCTGCTGTAGTCAGTCAACTACCATCCATGCATGAAGATGAATACACCAAGGATGTACTGCAAATCCTTATGAACTGCCGCAGACCTGCAACCAGGAAAACATGCAAGCAAAAATGGCACTATTTCGCAGTTTGGTGTTCAAAAGAGAACTGCACTTCATTAGATACTGGGGTTTCACATGTACTTACATACCTGCTACATCTACATTAAACAGGACTGTCATTAAGTTTGATTGAAATACTTGTTGGTGCCATATTGGCTCTACATTCTCCAATACAGGGTTATCCTGTTTTTACTTACCCATCCATCAAGAGGTTTCTTCAGGGCCTACATAATATGTTTCCACCATGAAGAGACCCAGTTCCCACATGAGACCTTAACCTTGTGCTTAGGGCGCTGATAAGCAAGCCCATTGAACCATTAGCTACCTTCTGGTTGCAATTACCTCTGTAAGAAGAGTGGGCGAGTTAGGGGCACTCATGACAGAACCCCTATACACAATATTTCATAAAGACAAAGTGATCCTACGTACCCACCCTAAGTTTCTCCCAAAAGTACTTGCCTCATTCCACTGGTAACAAACCCGTATACTTACCCATCATCTTGAAACCCCATAAGGACTACAGAGAAAAGGGCATTATGCACCCTTGATGTCTGCAGGGCAATTGCCTTCTGCTTACAATGCACGGAACCCTTTTGCAAAATGCCACGACTCTTCGTGTCATCTACAGAGTGGTCACAGGGGTTACCTATATCGAATCAAAGACTGTCTACATGGATCTCAGCTGCATACACCTAGCCTACACTGCATTCCAGAAGGAGCCCAACTCCACCGTACAGGCTTACTCCACAAGAGCAATGGCAGCATCAACACAGCACCACACCATCCAGTCATTTGCAGATGCTGATACATGTTCTGACCAGACAATACTCATGGTTACCAGGTCAAAATCACCAAAAGGCCCACCACCAAGCACGATTACTGCTTCGTAATCACCTAAAGGTGGAGCAGCCACGGGGACAATCATCGAAGAAGGGAAGATTATTCACGTGGTACATTAACTGTAGTTCTTTGAGATGGTTGTCCCCATAGGTGCTCCACCACTCACCTTCCTTCCCTCTGCTTCGGATCCAACTGCATCTGTGTCAGAGAAAGAACTGAGGAGGTGGTTAGCTGTGCATGTGGGATAGCCATTTCAAATGTCGCGCACTGGCGTTCTGCATGCACAGCAGACTGGGGCACTGCTGGCAAAAGTCTCCGACAGGAGGCTCAATCGTGGTGGAGAACCCATGGGAACAACCATCTTGAAGAACTCCAGTTACTGTACCAGGTAAGTAGACTTCCCTTTTCTTGGTGGGAGACTAAGCCATCCCCTTGCCCCTGCTCTTGGAGCACCAAGTGCCCTACTAGGGGCCCAGGAAGGTGATAGGGGAAGCAGGGAAGGGTTCTAGGTCTGAGCCCCAGCTCCTCTCAAATCTTGCAGCGTTTCTTACCCTCTTCCCTCCAGTGCGGTTATCCTTGATGCTGGCGGAGGAGGTCACCATGCACTGCTTGGACAGAGTCTCCCTTCCTCCAATTCTCTGGTCTTTCTAATCTCAGCAACACACCTCCAAACTCCAGTCCTCTCTCCTTACTCATTCCCCCTGTCTGTCTGAAGTAGGGGGTGGGGCATTATTAGGTTCCTGACAAGTGCTTCAGTTATCCTGTAGTCGTCTTCTCTAGTCGATAGGGGAAACATACCTTAATTCAGGGGAAACTTTTTTTGGTTTGGGGCTACTGACCCACAGAATAATCAATTGGGGGCCACACATAAGTGAGAATAAAAAAAATCTTCACTAATGTGGTCCCCAACAGAGAGAGAAGATCCCCACATTCCCCTTGCACACCAGTACCTGGGGTAACCTAGCTAGTAGATACTGTGTGCTCCAGCCCACGTGGGAACAGCAAGGGGCTAGAGTTCCAGTGTGGGCTCCCCAGTACTGGTGAGCCCCCTAGACCTCAGGAGCCGGATCCAAGCAAGCTGGAGGCCACATTTAGTCCCCAGGCTTTAGGTTCCCCATCCTTGCCTTAATTAATCTAGGGCTTATATATCTCTCCTCTAGCATTCTCCCACTGCCCCTTGGGCCTCCTGTATCACATCCCCAAGTACAGAAAAGAAGTATTTACTGAACACTTTAGACCTTTTTTGCTTTATTATTGATAATTCTACCATATCCATCTAATGATAGACCAATACTATTGCCAGGATTCTTTTTGGTCCTAATATATTTTAAAATCTCCTTCTTACTATCCTTAATTCTGCAGGCTTCCCTAATCAGTTTTCTGAAATTCTTAATTTCTGTTGTATATTCATTAATATCAACTTCCCCTTTCTTCTTTATTTAATTATTTATTTTTTACAACTCTGCTATCACTTTCCTTCTAAACCAGTTTTTTTTTTTTTTTAACAACATAGCCTCCTTCCTCAATCATGGGATTGTGGCATTTTTGGGCATCTGGTGTGTTTAAATTATTCTCAATTATCATTCACATTTTTATGATTGAACTCTTCCTTCCCGCTGATATGGCTCAGAATTGTTTTCAGCTTTGTGAAACTACCCCTTTTAAAGCCACAAGTATATGTAACTGGTCTGAATTTTATTCTGTTTACACACTACATATGTGATCAAGTCATGATCATTTGTCCCTGACATACCACAGACTTTTAGGTCTGTGATCAGTTCCTCTTTATCTGTTAGGATATGGACTAATATAGATTTTCCCCATGTTGGATGCATAGCTTTTTGAATTAGGAAATTACAATCTAAAATTATTAGAAATCCATGGATGTTTTAGTACTGGCAACATAAGATCTCCAGCACATGTCATTCAAATAGAAGTTCCTCATGATTACACCGATTTTTTTTCCCATATACATTATAGATAAGTGCATAAGAGGCTGTCATCCTGTTCCCTACTGTGATTTGTAGTCTGTAGCAGATGTCAGTTAGTACCTTTATCATAAGCTTTATCAGTTAGGACATTAATACATATGCATTCAGGATAATTTTTGACTGAGTTATGTAAGACTCAGATTTTTGACAGAGTGCCATTCCCTTTCCCCTCTTGCTCATTTGATTCTTCCTAAATAAGTTAAGAACATTCATTTTAACACCCAGTCATGCAACAAGGGGATTCATGACTTGTATGCCAGACAGATGTGCAGTTAGAGGGAATGGGATTCAGCAAAGATCTCAGCAGTAAATACATTCATCAACATTTTCTTGGCAGACTTCTCTAGAGATCCCCAACTCCAGCGAGACTTTGGGAGGAAACCTGTCCAGCTTAGAGGCTGAGATGGATCACCTCCGGGTCCAACTGGATAACAGCCTGAAAGAACTGCATCAAAAGGAGCTAAGAATTCAGCAGTTAAACAGCAAGGTACAGTAAGTTACCTCTGTCTCCTTATGGACCTGGGAGAGGTGGGAGGGGAGGATAACAGACATCCTATAGGACTTGGAGGAAGGAAGCAGACTTCTGCCTGCTTAAGGGATTTGTGCTGGGAATGTAGACTCCTCAGAGGTCCTTAGGGCTTGTGGAAAACAAATATCTGTCCCAGAGCTTAGAGACCTCCACCTAGAGGAGTAATGAGATTCAAGGTGAATATCAGGAAAAACTGTTGGGCTGCAGAACAGCTTCCACAGGGAAGAATCATAGAATCATAGAATAGAATCATAGAATAATAGGACTGGAAGGGACCTCGAGAGGTCATCGAGTCCAGCCCCCCGCCCTCAAGGCAGGACCAAGCTCCGTCTACACCATCCCTGACAGATATCTATCTAACCTGTTCTTAAATATCTCCAGAGAGGGAGATTCCACCACCTCCCTTGGCAATTTATTCCAATATTTGACCACCCTGACAGTTAGGAATTTTTTCCTAATGTCCAATCTAAACCTCCCCTGCTGCACTTTAAGCCCATTGCTCCTTGTCCTGTCCTCAGTAACCAAGAGGAACAAATTTTCGCCTTCCTCCTTGTGACACCCTTTTAGATATTTGAAAACCGCTATCATGTCCCCCCTTAATCTTCTTTTTTCCAAACTAAACAAGCCCAGTTCATGAAGCCTGGCTTCATAGGTCATGTTCTCTAAACCTTTAATCATTCTTGTCGCTCTTCTCTGTACCCTTTCCAATTTCTCCACATCTTTCTTGAAATGTGGTGCCCAGAACTGGACACAGTACTCCAGCTGAGGCCTAACTAGTGCAGAGTAGAGCGGCAGAATGACTTCACGAGTTTTGCTTACAACACACCTGTTGATACAACCTAGAATCATATTTGCTTTTTTTGCAACAGCATCACACTGTTGACTCATATTCAACTTGTGGTCCACTATGACCCCTAGATCCCTTTCCGCCATGCTCCTTCCTAGACAGTCGCTTCCCATCTTGTATGTATGGAACTGATTGTTCCTTCCTAAGTGGAGCACTTTGCATTTCTCTTTATTAAACCTCATCCTGTTTACCTCTGACCATTTCTCTAACTTGCTAAGGTCATTTTGAATTATGTCCCTATCCTCCAAAGAAGTTGCAACCCCACCCAGTTTGGTATCATCTGCAAACTTAATAAGCGTACTCTCTATCCCAATATCTACATCATTGATGAAGATATTGAACAGTACGGGTCCCAAAACAGACCCTTGCGGAACTCCACTTGTTATCCCTTTCCAGCAGGATTTAGCACCGTTAACAACAACTCTCTGACTACGGTTATCCAGCCAATTATGCACTCACCTTATCGTGGCCCTATCTAAGTTATATTTGCCTAGTTTATCAATAAGAATATCATGCGAGACCGTATCAAATGCCTTACTAAAGTCTAGGTATATGACATCCACCGCTTCTCCCTTATCCACAAGGCTCGTTATCTTATCAAAGAAAGCTATCAGATTAGTTTGGCATGACTTGTTCTTCACAAACCCATGCTGGCTATTCCCTATCACTTTATTACCTTCCAAGTGTTTGCATAGGATTTCCTTAATTACCTGCTCCATTATCTTCCCTGGGACAGACGTTAAACTGACCGGTCTGTAGTTTCCTGGGTTGTTCTTATTCCCCTTTTTATAGATGGGCACAATATTTGCCCTTTTCCAGTCTTCTGGAATCTCCCCTTGTCTGCCATGATTTTTCAAAGATCATAGCTAAAGGCTCAGATACCTCCTCTATCAGCTCCTTGAGTATTCTGGGATGCATTTCATCAGGACCTGGTGACTTGCTGACATCTAACTTTCCTAAGTGATTTCTAACTTGTTCTTTGTGTATCCTATCTTCTACACTTACCCTCTCTCTGCTTGTATTCACTACGTTAGGCACACCTCCAGACTTCTTTTGCCAGAAGCATCGCTTCTGTTCTGTTCATTCCCTCTGGCGCAGTGTTTCCTGAACTTTTTAAGACCGAGGAACACCAAACAATTTTTTTTATGGGGAACATTTTTTATTGGGGAAGGGAAGAGAAGGGAGGTTTGTCCCTTTAATGGTGGCCATTTTGAATTCTGTTCTCTCCGTGGCACACGTCCGACTGCCTCGCAGAGTCATGAGTTTTCTTTTATCTTTAAGAAAATAAGTTCTTTGCCCTCATAATTGTGAAGAAAAGCTTGAAAATGTGTCCTGAAGGTAACCAATACACTGACTGCTTGAGTTTGCAGACTGTCTGAGATAATAGCTCCAAAAGGGAGGATCTCAATATCCCATGCATCTCAATGAAGTGTTAACTCTGACCCACTGCTTTAGAGTCCAGCTAACCCATCCCAGACAAGGTCCATATATGGCAGAAGAGGAAGAGTATGGCAAACCCATCTCCCAAGCAGAGACAGTCTGGCTATGGGATATGCATTGAAGGATAGTGAGGATGGGCACTTGCTGGTATTCCTGCTTCCCTGGGAGGAAGAAGAGGGCCTTTGCTGCTCCCACAGGATAAAAGTCTCCAGCTTCCATTCCTGGATGATGCTTCCCCTGAGCTCTTCGGGATGGCAGGAAAACCCCCTACCACTCCAGGTGGGGTGAAGTGCTATACTGTAGCACTGGACCCACACAGAGCCCTATGTCATGGTGTGTCTAGGACTCCAGATTGTTTTAGTTCAGTCCTGATGATAGCCTGTGACCCTGGCACCAAGCATCTTTTTTCACATTCACATTGTGACTCATTTCCAGCTTCTCCTCTGTTCAAGTCTGTAAGTTTTGGGTCATCTTACTTTGCGTAAAGAAACAAGCAATGATGTACAAAAGAAAATGATCAGAATTGCAAATTCAAGCACTCAAAATTTAGAAAATGGTAGATTTATGGTGGCTCGTGCAGGCTTAATTCTAGTCCCTTGTTCCTGTGCATTTTGGTACAGCTCCCTGTGTTAGTCATTACATATTTTTCAGCTTCAGCATCAAATTATCCAACAGACACAGCTTCATTCGCTACACAAGAATGCCTTATTTGTCATCCATCCCGAGTAAATAATGATCCAGGAATTCTGGACACATTCAAATCTCAGGCGCACATAAAATTCTGCTTACTGAATTTCTCCAGAAACTACTTGGCAAATTCAGTATTAAGTCAACATCTGGAAATTCCATATTGTTGTTGTACCAATAAAAGGAAGCAGGATCTTATGAGGGGGATAAGGCAAAAAGCCACATTTATTGTAAAGATAATAATAAAAAAATAAAGAAAAGATAGAAGCAAACAACGTTGTTTAACTACTTAACCCTTATACATATAAACATTCATTCATCCATTCATTCAGGTTCTGTGTATTTGTTATAGTTACCAGCCTGGAAGTTGCTTGTGACAGAATACTGGCCAGGTATTCTGTACACAAGTGATGGTAGTGGGGAGCGAAGTCCTGATCAGATGCGCATCTGAAGCTCCTGGTAGGCTGGCAGCAGAACCTTGGACTTCAGTGCTAAAGCCAACTGAGATCTAATCTACAGGCAGATTCATAGAATCATAGGATTGGAAGAGACCTCAGGAGGTCATTGAGTCCAGCCCTTTGCTAAAAGCAGGACCAATCCCAACTAAATCATCCCAGCCAGGGCTTTGTCAAGCCAGGACTTAAAAATCTCTAGGAATGGAGATTCCACTACCTCCCTAGGGAACCCATTCCAATGCTTTGCCAGCCTCCTAGTGAAATAATTTTCCAATTATACAACCTAGACCTCCTCCATTGCAATTTGAGATCATTGCTCCTCCTTCTGTCATCTCTCACCTATGAGAACATCCTCCATCCTTTTTGGAACCCCGCTTCAGGTAGTTGGAGGCTGCTACCAACTCCTCCCCTTCCCCCCATCACCACCACTCTTCCTTTCTGCAAACTAAATAAGCCCAAATCCCTCAGCCTCCCCTCTTAAGTCATGTGCTCCACCTCCCTACTCATTTTGGTTGCCCTCTGCTGGACTTTCTCCAATGCATCCATGTCCTTTCTGTAATGGGTGGCCCAGAAGTGGACACACAACTACAGATGTGGCCTCATCACTTCCCTAGATTATTCCTTATCTGCTCTTGTGAAGTGCTTGCACCTTCCTCCGGGTATCAGGTACTGACCACTATCAGGGATGGATCCTGGAGTACAAGAATTTGTGGCTGATCAAGACAGGCAATAAAACTCTTTTACTGTGGATGCCAAGGGGAGCAGCGTCTCTCTAAAGTTCTGTCTTAGCATCTTTGCTCTGTCTTTTCCCCAGCTCTCTCAGACCTTTGAGGAGAAAAATGCCCTGTCTATCCAGTTGCGGGGCAGCAGCCAGAATC